TTTCTAAATCATTAGAATTGTCCCAAAGTGTAATGGACTTCTCTGAAAGTAGGGTGTTTTCTATCACTGAAGATTTTCAAGCAGAAGTTAGATAATCATTTGTCGGGTGATGCAGAGGAGATTTCTGTTCAGGTAGGAGTTTTGGGCCAGATGACCATTGAGTTTCTTTCCATTTATGAGATTCTATAATCCTATGGTCATTTTCTACTCCCCACCAAGCTATAAGGTAACTATGCTTCTACAGGATATGTCTCATTCACAATATGAGACTCTCCACTTTACTTCAAGACTCTTTATACATAGACATCCTTAGGCAAGTATACTAGCTCATCGTATCTCTGAGGTTAACACCTTTACTGATAGACTCCAAAGTCAAAAATACTCCTACTTACTCTAGATGTGAATACTTTTATAGATATCTCTCTCCTCTTTTGCTCTCACACACTCACATACATACACGCAGAGAACTCTTTCTAAAAACTGATATAGGCACAAAAGTAAATACAATAAAGGAAACAGTTAATAATTATTTCATTCAACTAGAAGTTCATGAAGTGGACAGATCAAGATTTTCTACTAAATTATAAATTTAAAAAGAGATCCGAGAATATGCAATTTAAGTTCCCACTGTTGGTTTACTTCCAACCCTTTTCCCCCTGACAACATCGACTACTCATACTTCTTTGACTTGGGCAATTTAAGATGCTTGAGAATCCATTATAGTGCTTTCTTACTCTTGTACCAGTAACAGAACAGAAGAGACTTATTTTACTATTGGCGCTGATTCTTATTTTTTTGTGTTTAATCTGAAATTGAATCCACTTTCCTGTTTTAAATGTATATGTCCTAGCTTAAGACCAGTGAGAACACTAATGGTTGCAACAATTACATCAATTTATTGAATTTCTGAATTAGGTCTCTGTTTATACTTGTCTTAACACAAGCTAACTGTTAAAGAAAAGTCTGCCTTGATTAAAAACACCTATTAAATGAAATAGATTTGCATTTCACAAGTACTTTATGTTCCAGTTTTGCAAGCCTTTTATTTCACCTCAGGCAACCAGGCTTATTAAATATTTGTATGTGCAGATGACCCTCCAAAACCTTAATTAAACAAACACAATTAACCACACAAGAAGTCTGCATCAAAACACAAAGGAACTGTTAATGCTCTTGGCTTTTCACCCTTATCTCATGACTTCTAGGAAAGGAAAAGAATTGTGTTAAGGGTGGTCCTAAACTTTTCCATGTTGATTCTAAAGCTTCTTTGCCAATCTCCTCCCCACTAGCTGTTCTATGTGTCATATTCCTATTAGTTCAGTGGTTGGGGATACCACTAGGAAGTTGGTAATCTGGGGCATCAGATTTTGCGCAAGAAGTCATTCTCCTTGAAGTCATTTCCTTTTGTATGGTTCCTTAAGTAATCTTAGAGATAACCCTTTGCACACAGTGATGTCAGTTAAGTTTGCCTTTAGAGCCCTACCCTACCCTCACTTCTCCTTTTTTATGTTTTCTTTTTTGTCAATTTTCCCCTCCAGGGTCACCTTTCACTCCTAACCACCTAAGTGAAGCACCTTCTTGGGTCTTCATTTTCGAGGAAGTTGCTGATGCTCTGAACTTATCCACCATCTCTACCAAAGATTCTTGGTGGGGTTTTTATTCCTCCAGGGCCCCAGTTTTCAAAAAGCAGGTCGTGACTTAAAGTGTTACTCCTTCCAGGAGTCTTAACATTTTCATAAGCAGGGCTTGACCTTAATTCCCATTGGTAGAATTTCAGACACCCTGCTAAGTTCTTGTGGAGGCCAAAAGTTCTTTCCTCAGTGTTCTTCAAATAATGCTATGTAGTGTAGGCAGAGGAGTCAATGTAGGCAGACTCACTGAGAACACCATATAGGGAGGGGTGAAGGAGAAATGGAGGTGAAAGGAGAAAGGGTGAATCAAGGGACACTTTCCAATATTACTTCTGGTAAGTATGTGTTCAGTCATTTCAGTTATGTCCAACTCTTGGTGGCCCCATTTAGAGTTCTTTTGGCAAAGATAGGGGACTAGTTTGCCATTTCCTTCTGTAGCTCATTTTACATATGAGGAAACTGAGGCAAGTGGAGTTAAGTGACTTGCCCAGGGTCACACAGCTAGTAAGCATCTGAGACTATATTTGAACTCAGGTATATTGGACCATTGCTGGTGCTTTATCCACTGTGCCACCTGACTGATAAGTAAGTGTACATGTAACAAACAAACAAAAAAAGTAAACTTGCATCTCTTTAATATGGGAACATTCTACTCTCCAGGCTGTGCAGTTATTTATTTTGTGATAACCCCAACTGTCCGTATTACAGAAAAAGCATAAAGCCACAGGTGGACAGCAAAATAGGCCAGTGGCACAATTTTTCAACCTTGCCTGAGGTCCACAAGTGCTCTGTCCCAGCTCTGCACATAGGTGAGTATCTCTTCTGACAAGTGAAGTCAGCCCTTTGTAGTGTAGCCTCATCATGGAGGCAAGATTGCTGTGTTTTGGACATAATTTGGCTCAAAACTTAGATAATTTCTACAGTTAGGTTTTTCTTGGCATAATGGAATAGTATTTCTTTTCCTGACTGGAATTGTTTGGGACTTAATATATTTTAGGGTCAAATTTTTGAAGAAAAGATTTCTAACAGTGAGACTTTATTTATAAGGGCATAGGGCTAACACCCATAAAGTATTGTGTTACAGGGGAAAGCATGTTGGACTAGGTGTCGGAGAACTCTAAGGTGGATTTAAATGCTGGCCCTATTATTTACTACCTATGTGACTGTGGGCAAGTGAGTTAACCATGCTGGGCCTCAGTTTCCTCATCTGTAATTAGATTAAATGGCTTGGGATTCAGAGGACCTACATTCAAATCAAGTTTCTGATGCCTATTACCTGTACCTGTACTACTTGCCTCTGGACAAGTCACTTAACATCCTTAGGGCTCAGTTTCCTTATCTGTAAAATGAGGAGCTCGCATCAGGTGGCCTCCTGGAGGTGGTCCCTTCCAGTCTAAAAGCTATGATCCATATTATCAATTGTAAATGGTGTTATCATTTCTCGAATACACGTATTTGTTATAGTTTGGGGACTCATAGTATAATCCAGTCACCATTCTTGATGATGATGCTACTCATGCTAACTATGGAAACTTAAGCAGGCTCCTAAAAGGTTAGGATAGGGGCACCTGAAGGCACCTCCTACACATGGAATAAGGGACTATGTTGTAAAAGTGTTCTTTTGTAGCTGCGTTGGCACACATTTTTTTGAAAAAAGGCCAACTCAGGATTTTACTATTTTTATTTGGCAAGCTCTGTTAAGACTGAATTGCTCTTGAATTAAGTGAATTTGGACCCAGCATCAGTTCAAAGAAGTGTTATGCTATTTGAATTCTATGAATAGCCTTCAAGGTGACCTTGAAATTCATGTTTAGTCTAGTGTATAATTTTATATTTATATATGCATGTATATACATACATACACAGAAACTTGTTGAATTTTAGGTTTGGAAGGAGCTGGAGTCATTTTCCAGCTCAAACTTCCCCATATTACAGATGAGAAAACTGAAATCTAGAGAGTTTATATTACTTACCCAATGTGCCATAGTTAGTTAGTGACAAATAGTACAAGAACACAGTTCTCTCTTGACTCCTGGTCCAGTGGTTTTTCTGCTAAACCAGATTCCTCCTCCATGTTTGATTTTTGTTTCGTAGAATCACAGAATTGAATCATGGAATCTCAGTATTGGAAGGAACTTTAGAGATCATGTATTTCAATCCATACTTGTCAGAAAGTCCCTGTAATGGTAGTAACTCACATTTATCTCTCCCTTTAGGCTTGGAAAGCACTTTACATACTTATCTAATTTTATATTACATCCCCACCAAGTGATCATTTAGCCATTGCTTGAAGACCCCTTTACTTCTCTCTGCCACTCAACCAAATTACTCCTTTCTACATCCTTTATGAGTTAAAACCAAACCAAACCAAACCAAAAACAAAACAAAACAAAACAAAACACCTCATAGTCAAACTCTGTTTCTTGCATTGGTTCTTCTATCATTCTGTCTATCCCTAGACCAATTGATCATATACTCCAGTCATCCTATTTATCTGATGCCAAGGCCCTGGGTCATGGACATCTGCCGACTCTGGGGAATAGAGAAATCTGCTGATGGGAGTTGACCCTGCTACCAAACTGGGCCTTTCTAGCTCCCTGCCTTGTATTAAGATAAATATTTCTGTTTAGATAATGGAGAAGCAAAAAGACTGATGAATGGTTACAATCTAAGTGGAAGGTATAATGAGTCTTTGATGAGCATTGATGGACTAGTGTTCTATGAGGGAAGTACATGCACATTACAGGGAACAGAGAGAGACAGAGAGAGACAGAGAGAGAGACAGAGAGACAGAGAGAAACACAGAGAGAGATGCAGAGAGACACACACAGAGAAATTGAGAGAGAGAGAAAGAGAGAGAGAGAGAGAGAGAGAGAGAGAGAGAGAGAGAGAGAGAGGAGAGAGGGAGGGAGAGAACATCACGACCAGTACCTGCACTTCTCACTGATATTCTCTCAGGGCTTCATGACCACACATTTTGACTTTGGCTAACATGAAGTATATGTATATGTGTGTGTACTTGGTGTGGGGAGAGGTCTGGGGAATGGGTTGAGAAAAAAATGTGACAGCATTTAGCAAATTAAACTTGGGAAAGGTCCCCCCCACCCCCACTTAAAAAAAAAGCAGATGGTATTTTGAACACAAACTGTCACAGCACATGAAAGCATAAGAGTTCTAGCCGTTGCCAAGAGTGAAAAAAATAAGCTGATTTTCTTTAATTGCAAAAACTACGTCTGAGCTCTCCCATGGGCTTAAAAAAAAGGCACTGAGAAATGTGAGTGATCTGCAAAAAGGGATTTGTGTAACAAGCACCTCCAACCACAGAAGTCACATGGGACTCTTTCCGCTTTGCTACTTTTGATTGCTTGTCAAGAAGGTTATACTTTTAGTTCTCCCTGGCCGGCAAGGCTAAGCAATGTGTGAGCTGGAGTGACCTTTATGCACAATGTCTTTCCAAAGGCCTATCCAGCAGAACAACAATTTGGTGGACTACAGCCCTGGCCCAGCTTATAGCTTGTACTCTACGCACACAGGTAGTCCACAAGTGGATAATAAAAGGATTCAAATGCTGGCAGAAACAGTGGCCACTTTGCCCCGGGGACGAAAGCAGGTACGATGACCATTTTGTACTTTGGGAAACTTTCACCATCACCAGGCAGTGGGTTCCTCAGCCAGCATCTTTGATCCTAAAGGATGAGCTTAGATGCTCAGGCAGAACTTGGGTGAGACAGGCAGGAGCATGGGATGCGAATGGAAATTTGGATACACTGGGACTCTAGTAAAACATAAAGCCAAGTATGACCAAGGTATTTCTGTCCTTTATTGGAGAAGTGCTCAGGAAGAACTGAGGTCCTTAAGCTTATCAGGTCATGGAGCTCTTTCTCCTCAACCTCCTGACAGCCTGTGTGAACTATCACTGGAGTGTGTATGTGTGTGTGTGTGTGTGTGTGTGTGTGTTCCTGGCCCCCGCTTCCTTCTCCTCTACCCCATCTGTAGCCCTGCTAAGAAGCACTTTAAGATCTTAATCATATTAGGGTCTGGTTTCTGGAGTTTGCTAAACTTTTACAGCTAATACATATAGCAGCTCTTCAACTTTCATGCTGGATTCTGGGTAAAGTATTTCTTTTGGGGTGAGATGATGCTTCTGAAAGTATTCAGTCAAACATCTTTAGGAATTTGTCAATTTATTCTGCATTGTTCACACTGTTAAAAAAAAGTTATTTATTAAATAGATTGAAAAACAAACTAATCGTAAGTCCTTTGCTGGTTCCATTATTCCAAGCCAGTAATAATGACTCTCTCCCTCCCTGTTCCCTCTCCCCATACCCTAAACTCATGGAGGGCTTTGTTTATACCTTTTTTATGTACTTATTATGTGTATGTATTATATCCTCCTACTAGACCAGAAACTCCATGAGGTGAGGCCCACTGGTTTATGTCAGCTTTGTATCTCACCCAGGGCTTAGCAGAGTATTCTATTTTTAAAAGGCGCTTAATAAATATTTAGGTAATAAATTGGTAAAGTAAAACCCCACCAAAATCCAAAATATGCTCAGTATGTACCTGATTCAGAATAGAACCTTTTAAGGTAGAAAATATTCAGAAACATTTCACTGTGCAAATTATCATTACTTAATTGTATATTAGCAATTGTGTACCCCTCTTAAACATTCTTTTTTTTTTTTGTAAAGTTTTAATGAAGATCGAAGTAGATGATAGATTTAAACTTGGTGGGCTGCTCTGTGATCCATTGTTTGCTCAGGAATCTTTAAGAAGAAGATATAATTTGCTATAGATTTGAGAGTATTTTTTCTCAATTAAGAAAAACTGTTTTTTCCTTTAATGGTATGATGTGATGACAATTATTGTAATCAACTCCCAACATGTGTATTTGACAAAAAAAAAGTACTGTAGAATGAAACAGAATGATAACCCATGTTTTAGTTAATGCAAGTTTCAGAAGTATTAGATATAGAGCAGAGTTGTAGCTGATGATTTTGTCACCCAGGTTGAACAGCATGAAATCTACTCTCAAATAAACTCTAGATAAATTCATTTGAGGGTAGAGGGTTACTCAGAGACCCTGGGTTATAAGTCTCTGTGTAAGGAGAAACCCTGGTACACTAACCTGTCTGTGTGGAGGAAGGGGGTGAATAGGAGAAGAGGAAGAGAGATTTTGTGACTCTGGCCCCTATAGACTGAAACCCAGGCATACATAAAGGCTGATACTGGGCAGAAAGGATACCATCTGATAGTTCATATTTTAATGACTTAATATTGCTAACTAGGTATTAAATTCACGTGCTTTTTTGTTGCTGAAGGATGTCAGTGCTCTCTCATTTTTGGTACCCAGGGCAGTAGTGTTAAACTCAAATACATATGGGCCACCAAACTATACATAAAAATCCCTGCTGGCCACATATTGATTTAGAAAACCATGTATTAACATTAGGTTCTATTGTATTTTTATTTATTTTGTTAAATATTGCACAATTACATTTTAATCTGGTTGAAGGCAATGGGGTAGTATGTTTGATACTTCTGCCTTAGAACAAGGCTCTGACTGCCTTAACCTAGTTGTAGTTCTACTGCCCGATTGCATGCTATGGTCATATTTACCTGTATATAACATGTAATTTAGCACAACTGGTTAGCGCATCATTTAATACTTGGGAAGCAGACCTTGTCCTTTCTTATGATTTTGATAGTCAGGGCAGGAACTCTCTCAAATTTACATCTCTTTCATTTTTCTTCCGTCCATCAAACTTACATATTCTCCTCCCTTTTTTCTTTTGCTAATTCTTATTAATATGACTTCAAAAAATTAAGCCATTCATTTCATCAATATAGGGTGGGGACTTCCTCTAACAGTGTCGACCAGCATTTTCTTGGCACTGTATAATCTTAAGAAGTTGCCTGAGAGAATTAGAAGTTAAATGACTTGCCCAGGGTCATGAAGCCAGCATTTGTCAGAGTTAGGAGTAGAACCTATGTCTTACAGATTATGAAGGCTGGCTCTCTGTCCATGACATCATTTTTGTTTTTGTACACAAAATATGCATACTTGTATTCACAGTCTTAATACCAATGTGGACCCTTATAGGTATACATCCATCCTCCTTCATCCTGCAGTGCCTCTGCTTACTTTTCTCCTTTTCTCATCCTCCTCTAAAATGTAAGGCCTCTCAACAGTTAAGCTCACACCCCCAATCTGCTTTCTGGAAGAAATATTTTTTGGGTTGTGGTGGGAAGTGCTAAGAACAACCCTGTTTCTATGGTACTCTCCATCCTTGAAAGACATGGGGCATGAAAATTTAATATCTGTAAACATTTCTGAACCTCCCAGCAGATTCAGTTGACCAAAAAACCCCCACAAAAATGTACTAATATTCATGTTTCTCTAGCTTGTTACGAGAGGCCGATCCCTAGTTTGGCAGGAACTCTGATTTGCAGGCAGCAGGATCCCTGGTTGGCTACCAAAAAGACAGGTGTTTCTCTGCCCACTTTGTTATTTTCAACATTTTCGTGTCTGACATCAGCAATTCATACTTCTTGTTAGTATTGGCTTCTGTTTCTGTAAAACTGTAGCTGGCCAGCCCACAGTTTTTTTTTTTAAGATAAATCTTCAGAATCCTTTGGATGTTTGTCTTTAGAATTCTTTAAAAATAGATTTCATATGTGTGTATGTGTGTGTGTGTATATGTGTATATACAAGGATACCTGTGGTTGTAGGAGGTGTCAGACAGACACCATGGTCTGTGCAGTTGGTATTTTACTCCTACTCCCAAATAGTTTTGGAAAGCACTTCAATCCTTTCTTTGGAAGATGTTTTTAGGAGATGGAAGGAAGGGGGTAGTCTTCAGAAGTGTGGTAGCTCCAAGAGTGTCATGGTGTGCATAAATCCTAGTGTAATGCTTTGTGGTCTTGAATCAGTCCTAACTGAGCACCCACATTAAAACCCTGGGTTTGGAGGTTAGAGGGACTGAGTTTGAATTTCATGTTATCCCTCCTTCCTGGAAACTCTGAGGGTCTTCCCCTCCCAGAATGGTTCTTTTGTGAAGGCAAACTAGGCCATCTTTTGCCTCAGTTATTACCCAGCCTTAATCACTGAATGGGTGTTCTGGGCAATATCTTAGCTTAAAAAGGCCAAGGTCTTCCACTGCATCCTAGGCCATCACTAGTCATCCTAACTTATGTCTTGCCACTGGACTCCCAGAACTCTGGAGGAGAGCGTGAGGCTTATGACTTTGCACAACTCTGCCTCACTTAAATCCAATTCACTTGCAAGTTATGACATCACTCTCCTGTTCTCATTGCAACTCTTTGAGAACGAAGGATGAACATCACTCTTCCCTATCAGTCATGTCCCTTACAGGACTTTGGCTTCCTTACCAGTAAAATGAGATGAGATTGGACTAGACAATCTCTAACGTTCTTTCCAGGTCTGAATTTTATGATCTTATGAGTCACTAGTAACAGGAATATATACTGGGAGTTGCAGTGTTTCAAGCTGTCCATACTCTTTCTTATTTTACTTCAAGGGTATTCTGTGAGTAAAGAACTATAGACACAGATTATTTGGGGTCATATTTTCTTTACACAGGCAATCATTACAAGGTGACTTCCTAAGAAAGGTTCTGAGAACTTGAGGGTAGGGATGTGGTCACTGTTTTCTATTTATTGACTGTTTCCAGTATACTAAGCTCTATGCCTACCATCCTATGGGATATTCCCTGCCTTCTATATGCTTTCATTCTAGGGCAGCAACACACATTCTGTATCGCATCCGTTCTTCATTGTTGAGTCATTTCCAGTCATGTATGACACTGTGTGCCCCCATGGGGTTTTCTTGGCAAAGATGCCATTTCTTTCTCTAGCTTATTTTACAGATGAGGAAACTGAGGTAAACAGCTTTATGCCCAGGGTCATACAACTAGTAAGTGGCTAAGGCTGGATTTGAACTCAGGTCTTCCTGCCTTCAGGCCCGGCATGCTATCAATTGCCCTTCGTAGCTGCCCATAGCATCTATTCTGTACATCCAAAAAACACATGAACATCTTGTGTCCATTTTTTTATGATTTGCTTGAGGAGAAACCCCAAATTAATTCCTCTCCCAAAAGGGAATTAGCCCTTTTCATTTAGTGCCATAGCAAGCCTGAGCTTATGCACCTAATTTTGTGGAAACTGAATTAGTTGAGATGAGATTAGACATTCTTATGAAACTACTTTGCCCAAGTTCTCCTCTTGGTTGCCAATTAGGAAAAAAAAATCAGTTCTGCTGTACTATTTTTGTGGGGTGTTCTTGTCTTTGGCTAGGTCTCAAGTTTATCTCTTGCTCCTAGTTTTAAAGTACATTGAAAGAAAAAATCATGAACGTGTGAATGCTAGTGAGGGTGAGCAAAGGGGAAGATGTGTGTGTGTGTGTGTGTGTGTGTGTGTGGGGTGAGGAAGAGTGGCAAAGAAAATAGAGAATATAATTTCAGTTTTTCATTTGGAAATAATACACACCTGTGAATTATGGCCCCAAACACTTTCGTGAAATGAATGTGCAGAGTTAGCTACAGGAAGCAACAATCTCTTGTTACTGGGCAGCAGAAGTAGTTTCTGGAA